GCTGTTCCCAAGAACCCGCAACTGGTGAGAAGAGAGTTCTTCCACAGAGGCAGAAGGAATGATGGGAATGAGGGGGAGGTGGGTGGGAATGGGGAGAGCAGGGGGAGGGAGGGTCATGAAATGAGAGGGGGAAGAGGCTGGGAGGAGGCTCATAAAAAACAGGAGAAGAGAATCCACAAAGGTCTCCTCTAAGCTTGAGAAGTCCCCCCGGGGGAGCAACCCAGGAAATAACCCCTGCTTTTGAAGTGGAAATGCATGGACACCCCCTTAGGGGGATTGGGCCCTCGTGGAGGGAACAGGGAACACAGACGCCTGGATACGGGGCTCGAGGGAGCCTTCCTGCCATCAGGGTGAGAAGCCAGGTTGATCTGTTCCCTGCAGCGGCTCTGCCTCTGTTGCCAAGGCCCCGGCCACTCACACTGCACTGGACCCCCCAGCCCCACCCCTGCTGGACTGGCAAGGCCAGTGCTGTGGTGTCAGCAAGGATTCGCAGAGTGCACAGCCTGGCTGTAAATGAAGAACAGAGCCAGGGGCAATGTGTTCAACCCTGAGCCCTTCAACAGAGCCCTCTGGTCCTGGCCACATCTCCAGGCTGGAGGCATTGGTCTGGGGGGTGCAGAGGGTGCCCCTTGCCTTCACAGAGTTGGATGGTGGTGACCCCTCCTTGGGAGCTGCAAATGTGGCATCTAAAACCCAAGGTGGCTTCAGGCCCTTGAGGAGGGAGCACACAGCACCCCTCACAGAGGCTTGGTGTGCGTGGGGAAGTGATGCAGGCCGCGGGGTGCCAGCAGGAGGCGGGGACCCAGGAAAGGGCAGAGATGAATTCTCGTCCCTAAGGCAGTTCCCCAGACTCAGGGTTCATTGGAAACAAAGACGAAATTCCACCGGAGTCTTTCTTTTGGTTCAGGCTGTGCCTACACACTGCTGGTGAAAGCTCAGGTCGATGTGGCCATGGACCAGGACCTGGTGGCTGGGGTCACTTCGCTTTACCTTGGCTGGGCATTTGGGGGTCCATCACGTTTTCCATAAGAACCCACAGTCCGTTTTCTCAGCTTCACGTAAACAGAATCATATTCTCAGCCTCAGAACCTCTCACTTCTCAGCTCTTCCCCCAAATAAGAGACAATCTAATCCTGTACTATATGGTTTTTGGGGTTGGGATTACATGAACAGTTTTCATGAGAAATACTGGAGGGAATGTTTCCAGCAGTCAAGGTGATACAGTTGTCCTGCTGCTAAGGCCAGGCTTGTTCAAATGGATGTTCTGGGCTTCCAGCCCCTTGTACACAGGACACTTTGTTTATCTGGAGTGTGGGGACCAAGCCTAGGGCTTGGGATTCTGTCAAACGACAATAATACCTTTCCCCCCCGCCAGGAGCTGTCAGCCAGGGAGCAGGGTGAGCATGGAATTTAGAAGTTTACAAAACAGACCCAATCAGAGAAGCTTGGAAACACCGTTGAAGTGGCAGAGGCCTGAAGTCCAGCCCATGGACAAAAAAACTAAGCAAAATACAAAAGAAAAGTGCAATCCTTCCTTCCTGCACTCTTCCTGCCATGACGGGGTTGAGGGTGGGGCAGGCAGAAGCCTGTTCCGACAGACCAGGGCACAACCAAAAAAATCTCAGTGGACAAAAATACTCCACACTCCAACAATTCCAAGTACCTTTCCGTGTAAAACTACTCTTCACAGGATGAAAAGAAAATGTTAAGGTTTGCTGCAGGAAGGCCAGGCAGATGTAGTCCTCCACACCCGGGATGAGGGACAGCGGCCTGCACAGACCCCCACAGGGCCTGTGAGCCATCACGCGGTCTAGACACACACCCAGGAGACACTTGTACAGAGAGATGCACTCCCTGGACCCGTCACGGTCACCCCACCCAAATCAGGAGGTGCCTTGACGTTTGCATGTTTAGGAATTGTAACTCCTGGGTCCACCTGAAGATGGGGGGAAAATGCAGTAGGTGGCCCAGAAAACAAACCATGGGACAGCATCACTAGTTTCCCTGAATGTCCTGTTGAGGCTCCGGACAGAAGGATGTCAAAGGGTGGAGGGTGTTGTGGAGTGAATTAACATAATGACTCAAAACTGCACTAATGTTTCACAGCTTTTTTTTATTAGCAATACCAAGATAAGTTATTGAAGCATTTTTAGTATTGTTTTACATTCCATTCATAAATGACCTAACTTGTAACTCAGCATACAGCACACTTAAAGATATAGTTTGACACTTATTCAGAAAGCTACAATTATTATAACTTACATGCCTTCATTACCAGGAACACCTTCATGTATCTTCTAATTACTTCAACAATACTCTATTCCAAAGCACACGATAACCTGGTACAAGTTTACACATTTTGCTTCAATCACCATTTTTAAGGAGTGGATATCAAGGTGCTATTCACTGGAATTTTACGTCATCTGTTCCTGGTTAACATGACGACCTGACACAATATTAAACTAGCAATATTACTGCTTAAATACTACGGAGAAAGATAATTACTGCACTTTTCTGTATTCTCTAAAGTGTTACAAAATACAGGACAATCAGACACAAGCAGTAATGCCAACGAGACCATCGCAGGGCCCGCCTCTAGAAGCTGTGCTGAGCAGGCCCCCCATCAGGGTTTCCACAGGTGAAGGGACCTCGAATCCACCAGCGTGTGTCATGCAGAATTCATGACCCGGAGGGAATTTTCTCTCCCCTTCAAGTTACTAAGCCTTCACCATCCTTTGCTAATAGTGGAACATATGGGGCAGTATTTTTAGCCTCCCTGATTCTTTGCTATATATACCATAGGTTGGTGTGCCATGTGTATACACATACCTATGCCAATAGTAATTATTTATTCAACACACATATGTGTATACATTCTTCTCTTGACTTTACACGATTAACAAGCTGCAGATAGCCACCGAGGAGCACGAACAGAGAAGGGCAAGTCCAGCTAGACCGACTAGAACAGGGGGTGTCACTTACCTGCAAGAAAATGTGCAGATTCATTAAACAATCCAGAAACCACATGGGCTAGAGGCATTTGAAAGCAAGGGCAGGGCCACATTCCCTAACTGTTTAATGGGATAATGACAATAAAGCAATATTTATAAAATTTGGTCCTTCTGCCTCTGGCTAAAGCAAGAAGAGCCCATGTGATTAGAGCAGGTTGGCAATTAGGTGTAGAGATGCTGTTGACCAGCGCTAAGTAATAGGAGAAAATTACTACTTATTTGAAACCTGGGCTTGGCACATAGCATCTGAAAATAAAAAACAAAGAACCTGATTCCTTCAGCAGTTGAGATGTGGTCCGTGGCACATGTGGCAGCTAGATGGCTGCCCGTGCCAACCACCACTTTGATTCAGTAGCCTAAGAAGGTAGATCCCAGAACTTAAGCCCAGAGTACCCCCACACAGCTCAAGCCATGGGGTCACAGCACTCCTATTGCATAGGGCGATGGCTGGGCCTGCCTGGAGAGTTTGCATTTCCCCAGGGATGTGGGTGTCCGTTCTGACAACACTCTCTTCTCTCAGCATTCTCTTCCTCCCTCCCAATTTGAAGTCATCATTAGGGAGGAAAAACATTGTATATATGTTTTGAACCAAAGAGCTTGGCTGGTCTCTTCTCCCACCTCAGGCTTGATCCTGGGCAGTAGGTATCACGCGATCCAAAGAGAACATGGACACGGCAACCAAAATGAAAGCTACCAGACTTTTCTCCTGCTTTGGAGGCACTGTTGATTCAGACGGTAGCTTTTGGAGCCAAAAATATGCAGCAAAAGGAAAGGAACATAAACAAGGCTAAATGTCACCAGTGTTTGCCGACTTACAGACACCATCCATTTGTTTGTTCTGAAATGACGAGTGGACCATTTGGCAAATACAATGGTATTCACACAACAGTTCTGTCATCCTGCAGTGCAAACGACATCATGTCAGTGGCATCCCCATTTAACTTAAAAAGAGGGAAGGGGAGGAGGAATAGAATGCCGAAAGAGTTTGGAGAGGGCTGCCATTCAAAGAGGATGCCTCTTTGTTAACATGGTGCACATGGAGAGCCTCTGGCTGAGGGCAAGGGAGAGCCTGCCGGGGGTGCTGCTTTCCGTGGGAGACCCTGGGGGACAGTACCTGTGCTTTGTCCCACCAGAGTTAAAGGGAAAGGCCCTGCAGCCAGTTGTGCGGCAGCCAGCCTGGGCAGAGCAGGCAGGAGGGGTGGTGATTTGCATTAATTCAAAGTATCTGCCCTTGGACTTCAGGACAAACCAAGTGGTCCTCCCTACAGAGGCCTGACATCAGGCTCTGGACACACACTATTACTGGGAGCAGGCTGGACTACGGAAATCAAAGACCAACCTGTAAATGATAAAATCGGGCAAAGAAAGCGAGTACAAATGTTGTGCTTTATCCACAGTCTCTGCAAAGCCAGCACATAGGAGAGTCATCTCATAAAGAAGAGGAAGAGAGGAACGATGGCTCATTTGGCTTTAAATAAAGCATATGGCAGCTCTAGAGACAGCACCTTACAACAGAGGTTCCCTGGGCCTCCTAGGCTCACTGCCTTCACATGTGTTGGCTGAGCCTGGGCGCCTGTCTGCTTGGCAAATTTGGATTTTGTGGTTCTCGTCCTCTGCCATTTAACTAATTTAACTGCCTTTCTCCATTAGAACCTGCTGGCTTCAGGGCCACACCTTAGAACTTAAGATCATCCGCAAAAAATGTACCAACTGTCATAGGCTGTGCACCGGTAGCCCACGCCCCGGTGTCTTCATACACACATATGCAGTGCCCACAGTGTTTTCACATACTCCACCACGGCTCCCTTGGAAATCCCTAACTGACCACAGACCTTAGCCATTTACTGGCCAAAGACTGAGGAGGCAGGACTTACTTCCTACTCCAAAGCACTTGCCTTCTAACAGGAGAAGATTGGGTAGAAACTGAAACGGTGAGACCATGGCAATGAGATGTCAACACAAAATTGCCAGAACTGTCCTCTGAGCTAATGTTCCCACATACCAAGAAATAGCTATCAATGACTTGGCAAGGCAGACCCAAGGAAATAAGATGTGTCTCCATAACATTGATGGAAAGTAAGATTTGTGCCTGCTCAGGCTAAAGGGATGACTGCAACCAAAAGACATTTGGGCAGTGACATCACCTCCTTGTGATAGCCTCATGCGGATGTTCACCCCTTCCAGAAAATACCGGCTCAACTGAGAACCATTTATCCAAGCTCTTATACATCCATTGCCTCTTTTTATCCTCACACTTCTGTCCATCAAGCTCACCTCTGAGCCAAGAAAGAGCTCCTGCGTCTTCCTCCTCTGCCTGCATTGGCCATGATGGGGGGCAGCCTTTCAGAGCCCTGGAAGTCTCTGATGCATAGGTAGAGATGTGACCTTCCATAAATAGCTACTCCAGGCCACCTGGGTCTATAAGTCCTCTCTCTCTCTCTCTCTGGAAAATCTCTCAGATCTCTGGCATTAAATGGCAATAGATGGAACGTTGTAGCTGCTGGCCTGGGTCCTGCCTGCATCATCTCACTGGCCAGTGGGGTAGCAGAGGACGGCTTTCACATGTCTTCTCTAGGATGACCACAGCAACACAACCTTGTTTATACTAGAGCGGGGGCCAGCAAACTTGGATCTGTGGGCCAATTCTAGCCCATTGTCTGTGTTAGTAAATGAAGTTTATTGGAACGCAGCCATGCCCATTCGCTTCTTTATTGCTTATTGTCTGCTTTGTGCTGCCCAGCAGAGACCACAGGGCCTGCAAGCCTAAGGGCTCTCTGGCCTTCTAAGAAAACAGTTGCCCACCCCTGAATGTTTTCAGACTGCCTATGCTGAGAAATCAACAAGGTTTCTGGAGGACAGAGTCACCTTTTAAAAGAGTTCAGCTTCATTATCCTGGTTCATTTCATCACACATTTTAGAATACATAGGGTACAGAGGTTTAAGTGGACCCCATCTTTGTTTTCAGGAAGGGAGTCCTAATTTTCTCATTGCTATGAGAGAATCCAGGGTCGCAGGCATAACCTGGGTCAGGGAAGCCAGTTTCCCCCCAACTGGGAATACTGGGGCTATTGCTGGTAATGACCCTGCCTTCTCACTGGCTTCCTCCCCACTCTGGTGGGTCACTTGGTCTGGCAGCCACAAAACAAAGGCCTCATGCCCACAATAGACAAGCTGATAGATTCTCCTCACTCAGCCGGGCTTCCCTGAGTGGCGGTAGCTCCAGAGCAGAGCTTCGAAGAGTAAGGGAGTTGCAGTCTTCTCACTCATGTTCCCTTAATTTGACTTTAGTTCTTCCCCATCAACCCTACCCCTGGGCTCACCAAAGAACATAGAGCAAACTCTGCTTGTAAGACTCAATACACGATGGCTCCCAGATATCTGTCTCAGGTTCAAAAGCAAAAGTAAGTGTTGCTTTCTAAATCCACAAACTCTGGAGTGAAGCAAGCTCTGTACCTGGGCCATGCAGCCAGCCCCCCAGGTGCTGTGCAGCCCAGCCTCTGTGCTGACTAGGGCCCACCAGAGCACTTTTAGATCTCTGAGCTACTGGCTGTCCCAATAGTTTGTCAGATTTCTCAGGCTGGACAAAGGGGCTGTCTGCCTTGTCTTGTCAGTGGATGTGACGCTGCCCTGGTCTGCCCTTGCCCGCCTTATTAAATACTCACGTGGATCTTGTCCCATTACAAAACCAAGGTCAAACCCATTCCCAAAACACCGAGGGCACATCCGAGTTCTCCAACGGCCGGGAATGCCCTCGTACGTTATGCTCTTCAACAGAATAAAGAAAGGTAGGCCATGCCTGGAGTCTGGAAACCACCTCGCGAAATGGGGACTTTGTTTGGAGCCGGATTTCTTGTAACGAGGTCAGGCCCAGGGTGGGAACTGACTCACTCTAGAAGCAACAGTGCATGTCCTTCAGCTTAATCCAGGAAGGCTCAATCTCCTCCTTGGGATCATCCGTAGCGTGCCTGTGATCTTTTGAAAATTCATGCTCAAGCTCTCAACGTTGGCACATGCTACATACCTCCCCTACCCGGCTGGCTGGGTTGCCTAGCAGTGGACAGCGCACATTGTCCAGGACCCCAGGTCCATGACACCAAGCAATGAAAGACCAGAGTTTTAAAAGTCAGAAAGCAGGCATGCAGAATTAAGGAAGCATCCAGAAGTAGAGCCTATAGCATGAAGATCACCCACAGACTTAGGGTTAGAAGCCACCTTCTGCACTTACCAGCATGTGTCAGCACAGCCACTGAGCTCTAGTGGGGAGGGGGGGCGGGCGGGGGGGATCTATACGATTTGAACAACGTCTTTACTGATGCTTCTAACACTTCTACACTCACGAGAATAGAAACAGACAGACATTAGCTCCTCCCACAAGCCTGTTTGTAAGGGCGTCAAAGTGGGGATTTGGATTTACTAACCAGATAAAATCAGACCCCAAACTCTCTTAAGTTTAGAGCTATCAGAATAATTCTTTGGTTAGGCAAAGCCCAGCTTCTTGAGGAAACCAGCTATTAAGTTGCTGGACCAGTTTGGAAATCCATATCTACTCTGAGTGGAGCAGAGAGGAGGGAATAAACATTAGGAATATTTGATTCCTTGTGCCAATATCATTTCCACCCTGGCAAAGTCAAGCCAATGGGAGTTTGAAGTTTTCAACTGTCGCTTGTGCTTTTTGCAATGCTAGAAAGGCAGTAAACTAGGCAGTAAGAAAAAATGTCCTCAAATGCCCCCTTTGTAGCTCAGTGGGTTTAAGTGTTCCTCACAGATGTCAACTCTTAGGAAGGATGAATATGCCTGGCCCTCCTGGGTCACAGCAGCCAGTAAGAAAACAGGAAGAGGATTTTGATTATGGTGGGCCAGGTATGGGAAGGGGCGATGAGAACTGGACAGAGTCAGGCCATCCTGCAGGCGAAAGGACAGGGCTTCCACCCCAACCAAGCAAACACAAAGGCCAGAGAAGGGCCTTCCTTGCCTGCTCCCAAGCTAAAGCAAGAGGGAGGATGCAGAAGAAATTAGGATAAATGAAATGCAGAACTTGTGCACTCTAAAAATAGGCATTTTTTGGCCGGAGTTAGTTTTGGCATCTCACCATGAGTTCAAGGTGGATCCGTGGGACCTGGACCGTCCGCTGGGAAGCGACCAGGTGCCTTGGGGCCTGGTTGGCCTGAGGGTCTTCACTCCCCTTTTGGGAGAGAGGCCACGACTTACATCTCAGGCTCTTTTGCCCAATGGCTGAAAGGTTGACTAAGCAAGTTTTTTTGCACGTACCCTGGAAATGTCAGGGAAGTGTGGTGAGCTGCTATTCTGGGAGGGGGTAAAAGGGCCTAAGAGCTGCAGCTCGGAGGAAAGGGCTTCCTGGTGCTGCCTTCCCCTCCACCCTCGCCTGGTGCAAAAGGACACAAGTGGGCACGCTTCCTCAAAGGCGGGCAGCCTTCCTTCGGCATTGATAGGACGATGGGAAAATTAATAGGGGTAATATGAGCTCATTTCAATAATAATGAGCTTATAAACATGCCAGGTTTTGATCTTTTCTGATGCATGGATTCCTGGCAGGAACTATGGGTCCTACGTAGGTATTTGAAAGAACTGAAAATAGACTTAAAAAAAAAAAAAAACCCAAACAACAATAAAAAAGAAAGCACTCCAATCACAAACTTAAAAACAACAATAAAAAAAAAGAGCAAAAAAAAAATTGGACTGACATAAAACTCTTTTCTCTTTCTTTTAAATATTGTTTTTAACAGCTTCAAAAGTAATGAATTGTATGTGGCTAAAAATAGATCTGGGGTGCTGGTTAATGGGGCCTTATGAATCATTCAGCATAAGGAATTGTCAATATTTTTTTGAGCTGTCAGAAATCCATTTAGTGATTTTTGACAATTCAAAAAATATTTCTGACTGCTTGATCCAGTTCTTAGTGAATTCGGGAAGGAGAGGGAAAAAGAAATACATCAATTGAAATTATGAACTGAGTCCAGCTTGCTGAATCCCACTCTGTGCTAAAAGGAATGTCAGGATTCAGAAGTTAAATACTACTCCCTTCCATCCATTTTCCTTCCTCCCTTCTTTCCTTCTTTCTTTCCTTTTTTCAACAAGTGAAATAAAGTCACAGAAATTCATTCATAGATTACAGATGGAAAGGTACCGTGGTCATTCGTCTCTAGTGAGGATATTTGGGGCTGGGAATAACAAACTGAGCTTCGATTCCCAGAAAGGCTTTCGAATAAGAATATCTGGGTGACAAGAGAATGACTTTGATCCTCCCTGCCCACGCCGACATTGATTTGATGCAGTTCTAGGCTTCAAATCTAGCATTACTATTTAAGATCTGGAATTACTTTGGAGTAACCATATTCTTTAAGGAGGTAAAGAAGTGCCAGTTTGCTAACAAGATCAGGCAGGCATAAATCCAAGACACACAGGATCACAACCCTGCTAACCAGGGACTTCATAATGTACATTCTTGTTCGAACAACAGGTGAAGAAACAGACAGACAGAAGGCAATAATAGAAGGCCAAAGTCACAGTAACTGCCATTTGGTATGTCTGAAGACGAATCACAAACACCCCAAACCGTCTCCCTGTTTGGAGAGAGGGTCAATTTATTTCTACATTGTGGTTAGTGTGATACGATTTTAGTATCCTCAAGTCATTATAAAGAAAAGTTTCAGAAAGCAGATTTGGCTTAGCAAAGCAGTAAGGGATTGTCTTTAGGCATTTTATGCAAAAGTTGAAAAGACTGAAAAGTTTGCAAGTTACCATGTCTCTTTCTCTTTTTGTTTTTTGAAATTTTTCCTTTCCCCCTCAAGTTATGGGTTAAAAACAGGAGTAGTGCACACTGTGAGACCCCGCCCCCTTTTCCATGCCTTCCATACAGGCATTTCAGATCACAATGATGCAAACTGAAACACGAAAGTACGAGGTCCAACACTTCTAAATGAAGTTGACTCTCATGATTGTCTATATTGCATATACAGCATAGTCAGGGTATTTTTCATGTGTAGTTCAAAATCTGCTCATGGATAAGTCTACCCCATTTTTTAAAAATGCACAAATCAGCACTGATGTTTTGGGAAATGAACTAAAGGAAGAGGATTCTAAAACTTACCACACAAGTCTGGCCTCTTGATACATCCAGAATTTGCTGTGCTACTTGCAAGTCCGTTAAAGGCTGCTAAGCCATCGGCGCTGTAGGCCCTGAGGACCGACAGCACATTCATCGGCTTCTCCAGGCCCTGGGGCCCCCGCTCTGGCTTGGGCAGGCTCGCCACGGGGTCCTGGGCTGGAAGAAGGCCCGGGCTGTGCCACTGCTTCTCCGATGCCTGGGGTAGAGGGGAGACCAGTCCCTGGATGGGCTGTGGGGCACCTGCGGGCAGCAGGCCATCCCCACCGTCGCTGCCCCCGTCCTTGCTCAGGGCAGGCGGCTTGCTCATCACCTCCGGCTCCGTGTCGATATCCTCTTCCTCGTTGTTTTCTCCTTTGGAGGAGTCCATGTCCTCTGAGGAGGCGATGTCCGAGAGGTCATCAGTAGTGTTCTTATTTGTGGTTTCAGGGATCAGGATCGGGGCATCATCTTCCAAGTGGGCCTTCCCGTCAGGCTCCCTGTTGGGGCAGGAACCAGAGGCCCCCGAGCCCAGCAGACCTGGGTAAACACCGAACTGCTTGTAGAAGTCTGACGGGAAGTTACAGAACGTGGGGTCCATGTGGCCGGGCCATGGGCTACCCTTCTGCTCCCCCAGAGTCTCTTTGACCTGTCCTTGGGCCATCTTTTCAGAAGGCGAGTCTAGAGGCCCCATCATGTTGGAAAGCGCCATCTCTTTGCTTGATTGTACCGAGGGCAACAGGGCCACTTTACTGGCCTCCCGGGCTTGGTCTGTGCAATTGACCGTCACCCCGACGGCGCTATCTTTGCGTTCCGATTTGCCCAGGTGGTTGGCCTGGAGATGAAGGGCCATCAGCTCCATAGAGGACGTTGTGAAAGCACAAAACAAGCAGCCGTGCCACGCGATGCTGTCTTGTACAGTCGCCGAGGAGCCTGGGAGGGAGGCGGCGTCCGGCCGCACGGACAAGTCCAGGGGCTCGTACTGAGACTTCTCAGACTTCCTGGGGGCCGCCTTGCTGCCCGCCTTCTCCTCGCCGCCGTCTGCCCCGCGGACCTTCATGGGAGGAGGGTCAGATGGGGCTTTGCCCTTCATGTCCTTCTGCTTCCTCAAGGAGCTTAGGACAAAGCTGTCCACGAACGCTTGCAAAGACCCTTGGAAATTCACACCGTTGTTCACGATACTTTGATAAGCTCTCCCGATTTCGGAGAAGTGGGTGCTTTTGGAAGGAAGGTCGGTACCTTTCAGAGTGTCTGAAGGAGCCTCAGAAGACAAGCCAGTGGCCTGCCCTGAGTGATCTCCAGATGAGAACACCCCTGATGTCCACTGCTGAGACGCAGGGCCACCTCTGAAGTCGATTCCGGGGAGACCCTTAAAGGCGCCCCTCAGGATGTCTGGCCTGATAAACAAAGCAGCTTTGTTGGACAGCTCGTCCCTGTGGTCTTGGTTCAGGGGCTGCCCAGACAGTGGCCCGGCTCCGTTCTGCCGCTCCCGGTGGTGCCGCTCTAGGTGGTATTTTAAGGAGGCTGATTGGGTGCCGGCATAATCACAGTGGGGACATTTGTAGGGTTTCTCACCTGCAAGATTTTGGTATAAGGAGAAAAAAAAAAAAAGTGTTAATCTCATTTTGGTGTGCTGAACAAGGCTAGAAGGATCAACATTTGTTCTTGGAAACAAAGCAGCTCAAACTAATAATTAGTTAGAGAACAACTGTTTTTTAATAGAAGAATAATTCGTACTCTTAAGCTTTTTTAATGATTTTGTACCATTTGGGACTATTCAGGAATGACATACTATCTACACACAATTAGCTATCTTTTTCTTTATCTAACATGTGAAAACGGCTGTAGATTTAAAAGCTATGATTATGAAAATTAAGCATAATAATTTCAACCACAGTGATCATTAAAAGTAGAAGTTTAAAAAGACAAAGTATGTAACAAATGGGTGGTTGCAATATTTTGTGTATACAATAGCTCTAAAATTTGTTTAAATTATACACATGGAAACCATTTTTAAGCCTAAAAATTTTATGGCACTGTTACGCAAGACTGAAATGAATGATTTAAGTCTTGCTCTGCAGTAAATCATGGATATAATTAGCAAATGGCATACTGCACAAGTAATTTATCATTATTTGGAGGGCACCATTCCAGACGGGCTCAGATATCCGCAGACCTACTGCATTGTTTCTAAATAAAGAACTATAAATACCGATTCTATAAAATATTAATACCATTACAGTGCATTATGATTGCAGCATGTAAAGACATATAGTTAAGATAAAAAGCAGTCAATAAAACTTAAAAGAAAATGAGTAATAAAAAGGCACAAAATATATTTAGTTTCTGTATTTGAAATTAACATTATCTACTGGTCTTTGTAGTGCCTTAAATTTGTACTAATGGCAAACCTAATGCTCTGGTAGTAAAATGTGTAATTTACCTATAATAAGCACTTTCTAGAGAATAAAAATAGCTTTAAAGACTTTTAAAACATATAAGATCATTTTCATGAATTAAATATTTATTTAAATCCAACACACAACTTCTATTGTTCTTTCCACTATGGGAAAGATACCATAACATACAACTTAGACCTGCCTACGTTGTAGGACAGAGGAAAAGGGGAGGGTAAACAAATGCGGATTTAAATATATTCCAAGAATTTGTTCGCAATCCAGGGTCTTCTCTGGACTTTGGAATCGAAAAGCTCTCTGGAAGGAATGGGACTGTTAGAGTTCCCACGAGCTTGTTCACAACAACTCCCTGTCAATATCCACAATTAATTCTCCGAGGAAATTCAAGCATCCCCCACCCCTTCCTCTATTCTATTGAAAAACACTGATCTAAAAGCAACAGCAAGTCATGGGTGAATGGTGTATTCTGGAGACATTTTACTGTGTCAGCTGACGCCGTGAGTCCCAGTTCTCCAGGCATAGGCCATCTGGGGGTAAGGCACTTGTTGGGGGTGGGGTGGGGGGGATGCACGCATTTTGTAAATAAGAGGACCACCAGCCCAGGTTCTGAGCAGAGGACTCCAGGTCACCTCCAGACTGTGCGCTCCAGCCTGGGAGAAGCTACGCCTGCCTCATCAAACGGTGGCTATGTGCTCCGCTTTCCCTCCTATGAGCAGCTGAAGGTTTCCTCTGGACACATTAGATTCCCAGCTGGGAATCTCTTTCTCTGAATGCAAAGGTCACGTCGTCTCTAGACCAATGACATGGATCTAGAGTAAGACTCACTCCCCTTTGGTGTAAAGGTACAAATGGCTTCAGGCACCATTTCCCACCTCTTGAAGTCAATCCCCGTATTAGGCTTGGATTCACTTCAGCCACTGCTATTTGGACATCTCACTGGAGACTAGGGGACCCTCAGTGGGATGGGCACTGTGGACGGGGTACTTCCGGGCTGACCTAGAAGTCCAGTGCCAGTTGGAGAAGAGGCAGCCCCTGAAGCTGAGGGGGTGTCTGTGGGGCTTGTGGTAGGAGAGCCTGATGAGGAACTCAAGATCCTGGCCCACAGGTTGATGTAAACCCGGGGGGAGGGCCCTGCAGTGAGAGTTGGCAGAGGTGCCTACAGGTACTGGATGAGACTCGGGTTGCATTTCAAAAGTGCACCTGGAAACGATTAAGTGCATCTGGCAAAGGGTTTGTAGAGCATGCATGGGCATCCATCAGCAGGAGATGCAGAGAGAAAATGTAGACCTTCCCTCCAGGCCTGGGTGGAGTGGGGACTGCCTTTCCTGGCTGACTGCAGGGATACTCGGAAGATGTGCGTAGATTTCCAAGGGACACACACTTGAAATGCTCACTGGAGCAGTGGTTGTCAGCGTGTACTGAGCATTGAATCCCCAGGAGAGTATAAAACACCAGTTCTGGGACCTAAGGCAGAGCAGTTCTGATTCCCTGGGTCTGGGGTGGGTCCAGAAGTGGGTGCTTCTAGTAAGTGCCCCTGATGATTCTGATGCTAAAACTGTGAACATTACATTTTGAAAAAACAAAGTGGAACAGCTTGGGGAGCTTTCAAAAGTGCTGATACCTGGTCCCACTTCCAGAAATTCTGAGTTCCCGGGACAGACTGGGCTCTGGGGTCTTTCAAAGGCCCCCACGTGACCCTCTGTGGCACCTGGGTGGGGAACCACTAAAAAGAGCCTCCCTGGGAAGTACTCTTTTAGGTCGATACTGTGGAACAGTGTAGCAGGGAATCTAGTTTGGACCTCTGGACCCCAGGAGGCATTTAGAGAGTCTGGACTGGGGCCAGATAACCTGTGTTATTTTTGCTCCACTGGGCATTCCTATCTTGGGACCTTTGCTTCCCCGACCTATAATGTGGCAAGTCGGAGCACATGTTCTCTATGGCATCATGTCAACTCTAAAAGTCATGTCAAGGGCTAAACAAAGTCTCCTGTATGATGCCAGAGGCATACGTGTCCATACATGTATGTACCCACACACCTGGAAACACATGGATTCGTTCACACAGTCTCTATTGAATGAGCACCCCCTACCCCCCAAGTACTGCTCTTGGTGCTGGGAATTGAGTGAAGAACCAAAGAGACAAGGCCCCTACTCTCACGGCTTTGAGAGGACACATATCATAGGATCATTAAAGAAAGAGGCACACACACACATACCACACACACATACACTCACACACACCACACATCATACACACACACAACATACATTACAAACACACACACACACACACACACACACACACCAAACATCACACACATACACCACACATCACATACTCACCACATACACACACCACACATCACACACATACACACACAATCACACACACCACACATCACACACACTAAACATCACATACACACCACACACACACCACACATCACACACATCACACACACACCACACATCACACACACTACACATCACATACACACCACACATACACACCACACACCACATACACACAAACACCACACATCACACACACACACACCACACATCACACACACACCACACATCACATACTCACCACACACACACACCACACACATACACGTGCACAACCACACACGCCACACATTACATACATACCACACACACACCACACATCTCACACACATACAACATACATTACAAACACACACACACACACCAAACATCACACATACACCACACATCACATACTCACCACACACACATCACACACATACACACGCACAATCACACACACCACACATCACACACACTACACATCACATACACACCACACATACACACACCACACATCACACACACACCACACATCACACACACTACACATCACATACACACCACACATACACACCACACACATCACACACACACCACACATCACACACATCACACACACACCACGCATCACATACTCACCACACACACACACCACACACACACGTGCACAACCACACACACCACACATTACATACATACCACACACACACCACACATCACACACACACCACACACCACACACACATACAACATACATTACAAACACACACACACACACCAAACATCACACACATACACCACACATCACATACGACACACACATCACACACATACACACACACAATCACACACACCACACATCACACACACTACACATCACATACACACCACACACACACCACACATCACACACACCACACACATCACACACACACCACACATCACACACATCACACACACCACACATCACATACTCACCACACACACACACCACACACATACACGTGCACAACCACACACACCACACATTACATACATACCACACACACACCACACATCACACACATGTACAACATACATTACAAACACACACACACACACCAAACATCACACACATACACCACACATCACATACTCACCACACACACATCACACACATACACACGCACAATCACACACACCACACACACACCACACATCACACACACACCACACACACACATTATACACACACCGCACATCACATACTTACCACACACACACCACACATCACACACATACACACACACAACCACACATCACACACATCACACATCACATACATACCACACACACACACCAAACACACCCCGCACATCACACACTACACATCATACACACACATATCACACACACACCCCACACATCACATACACACACACATACACACCATACATCACAAACACACCACATATCACACACACACCCCACACATCACATACACACACGCATACACACCATACATCACAAACACACCACATATCACACACACACCCCACACATCACATACACACTACACACATACCACACATCATACACACACCCCACACATCACATACACCCCACACACACACCACACATCACACACACACCCCACACATCACATACACATCACACAGTGCAGGAGAGGATCTCTTCACTTGACCCACTGTTCTTTTAAAGTTAAAAACAGGCCTTGACCACCACTGTTCCAGGGAAAAGAGGCCACATCTGAGAAACAAGAATGGTTAATTCTTAGCATCTAAGCCTCCAAGGATCCAGGCCCTGGTAAATTCAGGGCCACTT